TTTAAATATCCAAATACCAATTGATAATAGGATCTGTTACAATTTTTGGGTATTTCAGGACTGGATTGATTACTTTGAGTGTAAAGCAGTACTTAACCCTTTAACTCACTTGAGTGACTGAGACAGGATTTTCTCCTATCAATGTCAAATTAAACAACATAACGCAGACAAGTGATGACAATGAAGAAAAATATATCACATTTCTACATCCCGATTACCGCAAGAACAGTAATACTTGCCACCATTTGTTTGGAGAAAATTCCACAAAGTTTGCAATTGTTCTTCTGTTACCCGTGTCACAAAAGTCATCTAACCTTCCACAAAATCAGGTATAATATATTAACTAACTATGCAAATGTATTATGTTGGTGTTTAAATTAATGAGGGTCACTGACCCGCTTGAAAAGCATTTTGCCGTTATCTGCTTGATATCCTAATTCATCCAAGATTCAAGTCTGTTTTTAACAATGGCATTCTTTTTGTCTAAGAATTCAACACAGGCGGCCCAGGCTCAACTGTGGCCAATGTTTAACAAAACAGCAAGCCATTTAGCAAAATATTCCCTCCACTTTTGGGTTGGTATTTATTTCTGACTGAATCATTCATATCATGGGGCTACCCGTTGGGCCTAATTTTGCTAGTGTCCAGGCTGACCGCGTCGTAACGAACATTTGACTGCACAGGTTTTGACGGATGCGCATTCTAACGGCGTTGAAATGGCGGTAAATTTGAGATTTTCGCTGGACTGGTTGCTCGACAACCCAACTTTTGTGGGATTTGTTTTGATGAACTTGAAGGGCTACGTTTTGGCTTTCGTGCTGCCAAGTTTCGATTTAAGGGGAAGTATTTAAGTGTGTTTTTTGAGCAATTTTGGCGAGCGTGTGTGAGACAGAGGTTTCCTACCTTCCCTTTTACTTGGTAGTGCTAGGACGTTGAGCTGAAACACAGCAAAACGGCCTCAAATCGCGACAAGAACAGCACGGACTGCTCTGTATGAAGGTAAGACTTTATTTCTTTTATTATTTGACACAACTTTATATTTATGGGGCTCAAAAGCAAGTCCAACTAAACCACTATGCAAACTCTATAATAATCCACTGTGAAAGAGCCTGTGACAGAGCCTGTGACAGAGCCTGTGACAGAGCCTGTGACAGAGCCTGTGACAGAGCCTGTGACACAGCCTGGGCCGCCTGCGATTTCAAGGACTAAGGTTGGTGTCTACAAAAGAGTTAAGTCAGCTATGTTATGAATATCATTGTCAGGGCCCTTCTTAGCTAAATTAATGAAAACAGCCTTTCACCAAACAACATCTCTGACTTTGTGGTTATATACTGAAAAACATACTAATTTAGATTTTGTTATTTTAAAATGAAAGCATGAGAGATGAAATTAAATCAACAAATGCTGCCAGCTAACTTAACCTACATGTTAAGTACGCGGATCCACTACAAATGAAGACCAGTTAGCTTATAAACGTTCTGAATGCCAAAGCTGTGCAATGCAAGTCTTGACTGGATGGAAGAAATGAATAAGCCATGTAAGAATTATACTAAAAACAATTAATGATAAGTGAATAACTTGTAAAAAGTTTTCGCTCACTTTAGTAGATTAGTTAGACCTCATTTTTTGGTAATGCTTCTGCAGGTTATTCCTGGCACCTTTGACTACCTTGTCTATTTCAACCCAGTCCACCCCAACATCAGTGTGCATGTTCTCGAGATTCTTTAGTTTCCAATCATGTCCTTTATTCTTGTGACCTTAATATTTAATAAGTTACTCTCAGGGGTTAAAGAGCTAATAAACACAGGAGATCTACTTGAGAATGAGGTTACATTTGCTGCTGATCAACCTCTCATTACACTTTTACATTTTATTCAAAACATGTATTGAAAGTATGTTTTGACTTGTATCTCATTCTTCAATCATTTTTAGTAGTAGAGAATGCAATCTCATTTGAAAATACACAGTATATCTTTTCACGAAAAAAAAGGGAAATTTATCCATTTCTGAAAGCTTGGTACTATGATATTTATCCAAAAGCATTTAGTCAACATGGAAAAACATCGC